ATCCTATATGGTTGGATATGCTTGTGCACGGTATGTGTATGTATAAATATTTCTGTACGGTTTTGTAACCAATTTTTCCTATATGGTTGGACAATTAATTTTAGCTATCCTATATGGTTGGATATGCTTGTATACAGTGTATATATATTGAATGGCTTGGTTACCATATTGTCCTATATGGTTGGACGCAGTAAATTTATATCCTGTATGGTTGTAATTAATTTGACATATCCTGTATTGTTGGATATGCCTGTATACAGTATATATATATATCCTGTATGGTTTGGTAACCAAGATGTCCTATATGGTTGGACACATTATTTTTAGCTATCCTATATGGTTGGATATGCTTGTACAGCAATATATATCCTGTATGGTTTGGTAACCAACTTGTCCTATATGGTTGGACAATTAATTTTAGCTATCCTATATGGTTGGATATGCTTGTATACAGTGTATATATATTGAATGGTTTGGTTACCATATTGTCCTATATGGTTGGACGCAGTATATTTATATCCTGTATGGTTGTAATTAATTTGACATATCCTGTATGGTTGGATATGCATGTATACAGTATATATATATCCTGTATGGTCTGGTAACCAAGATGTCCTATATGGTTGGACAATTATTTTTAGCTATCCTATATGGTTGGATATGCTTGTACTTCAATATATATCCTGTATGGTTTGGTTACCAATTTGTCCTATATGGTTGGACAATTATTTGCCATATCCTATATGGTTGGACATGCTTGTATATGGTAAATATATATACATATACATATCTGGTACAGTTTGGTAACCTGTTTGTCCTGTATAGTTGGACAGTTAATTTGAGATATCCTATATGGTTGAATATGCTCATATAAGGGTATTTATATGTTAATCGTGTGATTGGGTAACCAAGTTTTGTTTTACATGGTTGGACAATTTATTTGGCATAACCTATATGGATGAATAGGTTTAGATACAGAATTTTTATATCCTTTATGCTTTGGTAACTGAGTTTATCCTGTATGGTTGGATAATTTATTTGACATATCCTGTATGTTTGGATATGCGTGTATAGAGAATGTATGTATATATAATTATATATCAAGGATTAATCCTGTATGGTTGTACAATTATTTGACATATCCTGTAGGGTTGGTTATGTTAATATTTATTTAATATTTATTGATCATGAATGGTTGGATAAAGAAGTTGTTCAGTATGGTTGAACACTTTATTTGACATATGTAGTATGATTATAAATATGCTTACAAATATCTTTATCGTGTATTGTAAGATAACCAGATTTGTCCTGTATGGTTTGACACTCTGCTTGACATGTCCTGCTTGGTTGGACATGCTTATGTTCTACATATCCTCAGGTGTATGTTTGCCTTATTTGGATAACCAGGTTTGTCTTGTGGTAGTTAGACAATTTGTTTGACATATCCCTTATGGTTGGATATGCTTATAACTACATCTTATAGGTTGGGATAGCCTAGTTTTGTCATGTATGTTTAGGCAATTCATTTGACATATCCTGTATGGTTTGATATACATAGCTAGCTTAGCCCTGTCAAGTTAGGCAGATATATTGCTTGTGTACGAGTACAATAATTTGCAGACCTATATATATATATATACACAATGATAATAACTATATTGAATGAATCGAGAGCTTGTAGCATATATTTTGGTTAAAGCTTCTAATCATTAACCAACATTGTATTTTCAATTGTAAATTTCATTACGGTGGACTTGTTTATGATTTAACACAAAGAAATTGGCACGGTTCATTAAAAAAAAAAAAAAAAAAGAAACAAACAAACAAAAACCTGGGACTAAAACTGGTACCATTTAATATTTCTTCTTCAGGGATCAATTTTTATTTTAGCACTGATTCCATAAATGCTTTAACAAAAGACTTAGGAAGAGCAATATATTGACCTTGGAGCACCACCTTTTGTCAGTCTTGTGCCTACCACCAAAATAATGGGTACACATTGATTTTAACTCTAACATTTCAGTAGCACCCAGAAATACAGATCAAACAATCAATACTATATTTCAGTGGAAAACAGCAATCTATGCATTTGATTTCTGTCTATACTAGAAAATTCCCAAATGAAACACAGTTTTGTGTAAATCATGCAGAGACAAGTCATGATTTGGCATCATCTAGAAGTAAACCTTGACAAACTGTTGATAAACAAATTAGGATATATAGACAAGTTTAAGGGTATGTCTTCGGAAATGGTTAGTGTATAATTTGTGCTTCAGGCATTTAAACACAGGGATATAGAGAGGAAACTACAGGTCTTTCCATCTCCCCCTTCTGATCAAGGTTTAGACTAAGGCTTTCAAAAAAAAGAGAGAAGCAAATCTCCATAGAAATTTGCTAGCCATATAATAGGGAAGGGCTATGCAAGCTTGAAAACTGCAAATTCCAATGCATTTGTTTAGAGTGTGGGAACAATTTGCAAAGCCCAGATAATTGACATTATTCCTTAAGTAATGTAGTTATGTTTTGTTTTGTTTTTTTTTAACCCCTATTATCCCAAATGTCCTTAAATATTTATTCCTAAGCAATTATGTCATTATTAATGACATTCGGTTTCAGAATTAAGCATGGATTTGATTTACAACATCAGGGTGCAAGATCTTTTATACCATCTGAGTATCTCAGCTTGGTGTGTATACCCAGTCACAAAGAGGATCATGAACTACTGGGCTTTCACTGGGAAAGTCTCGTATTATATGATAAGGTTTTCACTTGGGTTGTTCAGTTCTTTTGCTAACTTTTGAAGATCTTTCTTTGGTCTTATAATGGATTGGTAAAGTCAATGGACATTTTCTCTGAATTACTTGTGTTGGATAAAAAGACTTCATGGGCATCTACAAAGCTAGTATTTCTTAAATTGAATTTGACAAGTGGTAATGGAAAATCCAATATGTTGCTACCTGAGAAATTGGAGAAAAATAAAGCTACATTTGCAAAGAAATTTAAACAAACAGTTTGTATCTTAATACGGTGGTTATTTGAACATATACCATATATAAAGGTTACATCAAAACACATGCATCTCTACAGCTGATTCTTGGGTAATGGTTATTGTTTGTTAAAAAAAAAATAATAATAAAAAAAAAGAATATAGAAAATTATATGGATCTTGCAAAAAAAAAAAAAAAAAAAAAAGAAGGCAATATTACCCTCATGAATTATTCCCAATTGTTTTGGCTGTTGAATTATGGGACTTATTTAAAGAATTCATTTGTCATATTCCAATCTGATAGTACAGCTGTTTATTGCATATTGTAAACTTAACAAACACCAGAAAATTCATTTCTTTTAAAAGAAGATTATTGTTGGTTCTTTACAATATTTTGGGTAAAGAGTGCTTGTGGATATTTAAGATTACAAATCTATATTTTTCAACTCTCCAAACACAGCCCGTATTTCTTTTTAGATTCCGCTTTAGCTCTTATTGCAAAGTAAGTGTACGGGCATGCTCTAAATTGTTTTAAGGGTTTCATTCAGGGTGATCAATAGACCAAGTGCATTAAAGTGGTCTCCTTGGGACAGGTTTATATGTCTTATGTCTTACCTGTACCTATTCAGTTTAGGAAAATCAGCTAGCTCTATATCACTTGGCAGCATGGATATACTATTTTTAAATGCGAAACATCCCCGATTTCTTGAATCGTTTGTTAATCAGTAAAATGTTAAGTGGAGCAAAAAAGTTTGCTAGGTCAGTTGATGCGTGCAGCCTATGACTTTTAATATTCGAAATTAAAAAAAAAAAAAAAAATAGTGACAATACCATAGATAGCCAATTCTTAGTAACGGACATGTTGCTACAGGGTTATGTTCCTTTTTGTAATTTATCTTTGCTGAGAGGAAGGGAAATCGCGGTTCATTCAGACTCAAACCCATATTTGCTGCTTTGAGGAAATATACCTTTTCAGGCACGACAACAAGGGAGTTTAAAGGAGTCTTACAATGAATCAACTTTCAATACAATTTACGTAAAATAAAAGTCTATCTAGAAATAAAATCCCAACCCAATTGCAGTAGGTGAAATTAGCTGCAAAGGACCCCTTTTTGCTACAGCAACACCCTGGCACATTTTTTAGTGTTTTTAAGACTCACAAAATGAGATATGGGATGGTTGCAACTGGTGTCATTCCAGAGAACATTAAGGTTCCTATTTTCCCGCCTATTAGTACATATATGTTTTCATTTCGGGTGGTAGAAAGTCCGATTGTAAAGGATAAATGGTTGAGAAAGTATCCCTTATTCTGTATTATTTGAATGTATTAAATACCTAGATAGAGGATTCTGTCTGAGGCGGTATCCTCTATTTTTCTGCATCTTTTTTTTTTTTTTTAATTTAATTGTTAATACTATAACCTCATAAAAGCGTCAATTTCATGCTTTAAATATCATAATAATGCATGAGAAAGCTTAACATTGCATAGTTTATCTACCTTCACTTTATACTACACTTACATACAGGTACACAAAGTATTCGGTGACTGTCTGAGGCGGCACTGAATACATTCGCTGTTGAGTATCATATCGAGAATTGTATTAATATTTCATATCATTTTGAATTATTTAAATGCTTTTGTCAAGATATGCAACTATTCTATTCCTGGTACGTAGGTTAATGACTTTCTCGAGTTGTGTATGAATTTATCTGCCTTCACTTTATACTAATATACACTTGCATACAGGTACATGAAGTATTCGGTGACTGTCTGAGGCGGCACTGAATATATATTCGTTGTTGAGTATCATATCGAGGATTGTATTAATATTTCATATCATTTTGAATTATTTAAATGCTTTTGTCAAGATATGCAATAATTCTATTCCTGGTACGTACGTTAATGACTTTCGAGTTGTGTATGAATTTATCTGTCTTCACTTTATAAACTTACATACATGTACACGAAGTATTCGGTGACTGTCTTAGGCGGCACTGAATATATTCGTTGTTGGGTATCTTATCGAGGATTGTATAAATAGTTTATATCTCTTTGAATTATTTACATGTTTTTGTCAAGATATGCAATAATTCTATTCCTGGTTGGTACGTTAATGACTTTCGATTATGTATTTATTTTATTTTAGTTAATATTTTTATTATCCATCCTTAGAATACCATTGATCTATGTTGTGAATAGTTTTGTTAGTATTTACATCGTTATCAAGCTGTATACATTAAGTAATTGAAGCACATTTTTGGGTAGGGCGAGGGACCCTTCTCTGTACGTTCATTGTCCCTCTTGTGGGATGTTTTTGGGCCCCACCTTCTGCTGCATTCTGATATTGTAAAATCTGTAATCTCATTTGGCATTTGAAATAAATGCTCTATACACACACACACCCTCTTTATTATTTAACATGCTGCAGAACAGAGCTGCAAATGTGCTTCAGGTTCACATGAACCGAATTGTTCATCAGTTTCAGTATTTAAGGGCACATAAGTGTATTTATGTATATAAAGGAATTTATGTGATCTAAATACGTAATAAATTGCATATTTTTATTAATTACCAATTTGTTTGAATTCATGGGTCCCGAAGGATTTTCCGGGTTTTATACTTAAGCGTCCTCTAGTAACGGCTATTAGCCTTATCCTTATCAGAATAACATTTCGGCTCCAAAATGTGGTTTACAAATTTTACCCACCACCACCCCTTCAATCCTCCATAATTATTGTTATTGTAGAAAATACATGTACTAGTTTCTTTTATATAAGGTGCCTATTGTTATTGCATGACTTTTGTTATTGTAGAAAATAGATGTACTAGTTTCTTTTGTTTAAGGTACTTATTGTTAATTTTGTAGAAAATATATGTACTAGTTTTCTTTTGTATAAGGTGTGGGATGTTTTTGGGCCCCACCTTCTGCTGCATTCTGATATTGTAAAATCTGTAATCTCATTTGGCATTTGTAATAAATGCTCTATACACACACACACCCTCTTTATTATTTAACATGCTGCAGAACAGAGCTGCAAATGTGCTTCAGGTTCACATGAACCGAATTGTTCATCAGTTTCAGTATTTAAGGGCACATAACTTAAATATTTGTGAAATTTATTAGGATAATCTCTTTAATGTTTCATGTCCAAAGTGATTATTAATGTGTCCAGATTCATTATTTGCTGATCATTAGATCTTTCGAGCAGAGGATTTGAGAAAGCTAATGTTAACCAATTTTTAACGTCAACATCTCACCGAATTAATCACTGGCCAAATTATGAGACTGGCTTAAGTTCACATTCATCGTGTTATTGTAAGATAAAAACACAAATCTAAGCATATTACTATTAGATACCAAAGGTTAAATTCTCCCCATTCAATTATTGTAATGGTTATGCATTCGATTTGGGAGTCAAAGGCAAACATCACACTTGTAAATTGTCGAAACAAAATCAAGGCTAACAGACGCGTGCGCTAATGATTTATGGGTTCAGGCCCTTACCTTGCATATCTCTAAATTCCTTATTTTAGTTTCAGTTTTCTACTTGAAAAACGAAATTAATATATTTATTAAAAGTAGAAAACGAAATTATTAAATAAAGAAAAACGAAATCATTAAATAAAGAAAAACAAAATGATCTATTTAATAATTTCGCTTTTCTTTATATATTAATTCCGTGTTTCTTTATATATTAATTTCGTTTTTCTTTATATATTAATTTCGTTTTTCTTTATTTAATAATTTCGTTTATCTTTATTTAATAATTACGTTTTTCTGTATATATTAATTTCGTTTCTCTTTATATATTAATTTCGTTTTTCTTTATTTAATAATTTCATTTTCCTTTATTTAATAATTTCGTTTTTCTTTATATATTAATTTCGTTTTTCTTTATTTAATAATTTCGTTTCTCTTTATTTAATATTTTCGTTTTTTCTTTATTTATTTTTGGTTTGCACTATTGGGCTTCCGTAGATAACGAACAGTACTCAAACTCAAAAGTCCATTGAACAATACAAAATAGGAGCAGAACATTCAAACACGGACCTCTGAAACATCAGTGGTGGGATCAGGTGCTCGTTGTTATGATCGGGAAATAAGGAAAAAATCCGCCGTCGATTCAGTGTATTAATAATGGACTAATAATCAATATGAATTTGACACAAAGATAAAATGTATTTGCTGGCAAGGGTTTATTGTATCGACCAACTTACAAAATAAATAATGGTTTCATTATGTCTGCACGTTTGGTGGTGTGACCGCCATGTAAAGAATAACTTCGTAATTTACAACTCCAAAGACAAATGATCTACCCATCGCGTCAGGCGCTTGATTCAAATATTTTATATTAATTTTAGTTAAACACACAGGTAAAGGTATATCTGCGAAAAAAAAATGCATAAAATTCCAGAAACAAATCCTATGTTAAAACTTATACATACTAGCAATTAACTATTGAAAATGAATGTAATAACTTAACCTTTTGACAAAACATTTAATGAGCATATAAATGTATATTTCAATGGACTTTAACTTTTAAAGTATTTTATCTGGATACAACAAGCATTCTGAGATTGTTGCATTGGCAAAGCTAGTCTCCTGCCGTCAAGCGTTATCTGGTTTCCTTTAAAAATATTGTAATTCCGTCAAAAATCATCGAAGCGGAACATAATGCAATTTGGATCTGTAACTCATCAAGATATAATCACATTCCAAAGATCAGTTTAATACCTGCAAGCGTTTAAGTAAAAAGTGCGGGAAACCCTCAAAAATTAAAATGGCCGTAATTCCTTCAAAAATCAATGAAGCGGAACGAAACTTTTACTTGATTTTGTAATTCATTAATATACACATCCCAACAATAATTGTTTAATATTTGCAAGCGTTTAAAAGAACAACGCGAGAGAGACAGACGGACAAACAGACTTAGATGATACCTAAAATCAAACTCCACTTCCCCAACCCCGGTTTCACCGGAAGGGAACTAATAAAAAAAAATTGAGATACACACAAAAAAAAAACGATACACCTAATTGTGAAAATTATGTTAGCATCCAACAAAATGGTTATAGAATTATTATATACAGCAACTGTTTTTTTGTATAAGTACTATATATTTATCTATGGTTGTCTCTTTGAAATATACTGAAAGGAAAAAGAAATACGTGTACAATTTTAAAGTAAAATAGAGCCATTCAATATATATGCACGTATTGTTGGCTATTTACCACTTTTTATCCGTGAAATCATAGATTTTACATTTGAGTAGTTTTGAACACTGATTTTTGTGAGGGTAATCAAGATACACCCCTAACCAGTTGTCATAATTTTTGGCCACACAATCAAAAATATTTTGCATATTATGTTCACGTGTGTTTCTTTTTCCTTGCAATATATTATTTGGCAATTCAATTAATTTATGGTTGATTAATTTTTGGTTGATATTAATTTTTGGCCACACAATCAAAAATATTTTGCATATTATGTTCCCGTGTGTTTCTTTTTCCTTGCAATATATTATTTGGCAATTCAAATCTGGTCTAAAATGGGCTGATCGTGACGAATTTGAACAAAAGTGTAGGAAGACAGACACATGCTTCTTTAACAGTTTAATAGAGAGTAAATTGTGCAATCTTGTCAACTTGTTCGTCCCTACCGATTAAACCGGAAGGGACTATAGGTGTTCTCTTTGTCCGTCTGTCTGTCAGTTTGTATTACCTGGGTTTCAGCTGTTTTTTCTAAGAATTTGCAGATATTGACATGATTGAGCATTTTGAATTTGTTAATGCATCTTGAAAAGTTGCAGCTCCAGTTTGCATTTCATTACACCTCAATAATATTTGACGGAATAACAGTCTTTTAATCTTTTAAGAGTGTTTCGCAATTTTTGTCTGAGCGTCTATAGATATTGTACTGATTTTGGTAGGTAATTTGACCTTGATGAGTTATAAATGAAGTTATGAATGAACTTTCATCAGTTTCAATTTTTTTGAATGAATTATTCTATTTTCAATTTTAAGTGGAAACCAAATTACACTTTTCGGTAGAAGACAAGCTTAAGTTTTTCTGATGCAATACTCAAAGAATGGTTGTTTAATTTTTCAACGTGTGCTTTTTTTTCTATAAAGTACTACGGTCTAACGTGGTCATCAACAGATGCTAATTTCTTCAAGCTAGGAACCTGCTCTTGTCAGATGAATTTCCAGGGATAATTGTTTTCGTCCTCATTACAGATTTGCATCGTTAACTATAATTCATTTTTGAGATCGGTCACTCTTCGTTATTTTCATTTTTTTTTTCATTATAGGAAATACGATTTGAAGCTTGGGCGATGTTTTTGTTTGCATTCCCTCAGAGTTTCAATATATTTTGAAATGAACAAATGTATTGAAGATACATTTTTAACGAATTAAATTTATTGGTCCCTGGCATTTTGCTGTCAGCTTTTTTTACAGTCGAGGTAGTCTAAATCTGATAAATTGAGACAGAGTGAATAAATTGCCCCCTTCCCCTATGAAAAACATCTGGTCTGAAGGGTGAACTCTAGTAAGATTTCTTTCTAAAAGTTGTTAATCAACTTTCACATTACACATGTAAAATTGTAAAAATACAGTGGTTGGTTATTTATTGATAGTGCTACATGTAGCTGATTATCTTTATTATTTGTGTTAATGGAGTCTTAACTTTTTTCTTGTGTCTTAAGGAAAGGACAGGGTATCTCGAAATTTATACTTTTTTTTGAAAATTTAACTTAATTCATATTCAAGATATTAGAGAACAAATTAGATAACCATATTTTTTTGTAATTCTAGTATGACTGTTGCGCTGTAAACGAGGTTACTGGAACAACCAACGACTTTGACACTACACCTTGGTGTACAACATCTGGATCTTGTCAACTTACTAATTCACAGATTCCGAAATCCTGCTGCAAGGACACTAGCGAGGATGATTACCAATATGCCGAAACCAGTTGTCATGCAATTGTCCGCGTTGGAACTTATAAAGAAGTATAATACTGTAGCAAGAAAAAATAAACTAAGAACATAATTAATAGCCATTCTCTGTAAGCATTGAAACTCTTATATAGGGGTGTGGCTCTCTATGTCTTGGATTTTCATGACACTTGGAACATATTCCTATATTGATGTTTGAAACTAAAAATCATTGTAAAATGGTTGCCATGGTCCATGGTTACCATGGCAACCAGCATACATTTTTCATGGCCTAAAAATCGCTAAATTTTGATGAAAAATGACTCTTTTTTGACTCATCAAAACATTTTAATAGAACAAGATATTAACATGACTTTACCTTTTTACCAAAATACATTTTTTTTAGTTCTTTAGATAATTTTTAGTATTTCAGTAACTTTACCTCATAGGAAAAAATATCCCACCGTTTGTAGGTAGGATTTTTCTGGGAAAAAAATGTAGATTTTAGGCTCTTTTCAAAAGCCTGGTATAATTTTTGCGGATAGTTGGGGAAAAATGAATACATTGATTTGAAAGTCCATATAAAGTTCTAATATGAACTTCAAAGAATCACTTGGTATTCATATTTAGTTTTCATGTTACCATGGTTACAAACTTATACTTTAAAAAAAAAAAATCCAGGCAAGAACAATATATATAATATCATACAGTTTCCATATAATTACCTGAGTATTTTAAAATTTATTAAAACAAATTAAGATATATGGTACATGTAAACAATAGCAAAAACAAAGAGAAAAAGATCAATTTTCATGATTTAGGGTCAAAGGTCAAGGTCAAAATGGCAGAATTAGATGGAAATTTAAGGAAACTAAACAAACTTTTTTCTGTGTCATAACTAATACTTGTGTTTTAAACAACAAATGAATAAACAAAATAACAGTTCTTGACGGCAATAACTAGCATCATATGAATTGTTGAATTTTATATGAACAGAAGGTCAAAGTTCAAGGTCACAATGGTATATAAATTGTGCCTTTTTGTCCCTAAGTTTCACTGAAAGTGGGGGATATTAGTGTAGATTTATTTGTCCGTTTGCCCGACTATCAGTCTGCATTTCTGTGACACTTTCCTTTTGGTACCATGTCTGTAGAAGCCTTTGAAATGCAATTACATATAGTTACTCCCTATGACCTGAGGAAGACCCCCCATTGATTTTAAGGTCATGAATTCATATATTCTGTCTGTTTAGGTTTTAACATTTTATTATCGTGTGGTATCTCAAGTAGCCGTCCATCTTTTTCAATTCATTTATACCACAACTTGCTATGACATAAAAAGATCCCTATTGAGTTCAGTGTCAAAAGGTCAAGGTAAAAAAACATTCTGTTTGTATGAAAACCTCTCATTTCAGAGCAATATCTTAAAGAGCATTTACATGTTTGCTTTTAGAATGAAATTCTATATCATAATTCATATGGTCCCGCCCACTTCTCTTTAAGTTTTCCATCGACTACACCCCCTCCATCCGACCACATGAGCCCTCTTCTCAATATGTACATTAACAAGTTCTTCTTTTTTCTTTAAGCAGGTAATCAGTTTTTTTGAATTAGCATGCTAGTAAAGCATTTGTACTCGGGTACTAGTATTCGGAATATTGTAAATGTCGTATCCTCTATTCAGTATATTCAGTTTATTGAAACTCGTGTTGCATTTTCCCTTTAGCTTGATGCATAATGTGGAAATGCTTATAAGAGCGGTTTTAAGGTCATGTATTGATATATAGGCAATGAAGAATATTGAAAGACTATACATTTTCCACATTGAGTGATTTGTACATAGAGAAAATAGTGCTACATGCATTTAAAGACACCGTCCAAAATAGGTGAATTCCGGATTATTAGACCGGTTTTGAACGTTATATACACAAAAGGTCACGTGAGTTGAGGATTTTCACAAAGGGGAACCTTAACAATAAACTGACACAGTTCAAAAAATGTTATCGTGCGTTTAATTTTTGCCAATTTTACAGGGCCGTCTCTTTATACATACCATGCCCAGTTCTTTATGTCGGTTGCTTGGTTTGAGTTGATTGGTAAACTTGATGGAAATTTTCACCTTATGGTGCGTAAGTAAACACGATTTCTAAACATTAGTCCTTGAAAATGTTGAAAATAATCTTTCCCTGCCTTCTTGCTACAGTTTACATTTTTTAAAATTAATAAGGTAACCAATGTCCATGCAGGACTTACTCCACCCAAAAATCCAAAAATCTTGTAAAAGAAACTACCTTACCCCACATAAATTGGTAAGAGTCATTCGTACGAAAATGTGGATACCTTGTAAAACGTTCAGAGGAGATATTTATAGAAATGAAAGAAAGCGATTCATTCATAAGTGATTAAACCTACCCAACCACCATTCCCTAGATATGGAATTTTTGCTTAATTTTGTGATTTTTTTTTCTTTTGATAGAATGGGGGGGGGGGGGGGGCAATTTTTTCCGAGTCAGATTTTCATGGTAGTGAAGGGCAGATTATTTAATTCCAAGGTGATCGTAGGTGCTGATTATTTATTTATTTATCTATTCTGCTTCACCTAAAAAAGTCAGGAGCAAAAATAAAAAAATAAGAAAAAGAAATAAAAAAGAAAATATCCAAACTCTATTTCGTTGAGAAGGGGAGGGGACACTTAAATTGTTTCGGCAACAATTTTTAACCCATATATAAAACTTATCATACCACAGGTTTAAAAAATTATTAATAAAAAAAGTGACTGTGGATGGGAATTGTATCTATTATAAAGGATAGATTATTTATTTTCCTTTCAGTCAAGGGCATATCATGTTTTCTAAAGCTGTACATATTCATTATATAGTCCAGTGGTATATCACTCTGACTGAGACAGTCTGCACTTCTTCTAAAAAACGTTTTTAAAATACATGTAATTCTGATACTTCAAGTTATCTTTAATCCCCATTTTGAATTTCTTTTGACCCTGAGGCTAATACTTCAATATCAACGAAGAATATGTAGGTCCACCATAAAGCTGATTTCATGTACCATGTAGTCTTGTGCATTTCATGATTTTTCACGTATCAAAATTCTTCTTTTGCATACTAGAAATAAACAGAGGTTAAAATTTGTATGCAATAAAATAAAGGAAAAACACTTCATTTTACTTGAATTCCAGGATATACAGCGCTGCATGTTAACAATATCATGAATATGTAAACAATTTCCTTTCAGTTTTATCCAATGATTTTTTATCTCTCACACTAAAGAGCTTACAATTATCAAAGGGAGATAATTTAATTTTAAATTCAATGTCTGCTATTTTAATCAAAGATTTCTCTTATTTATATACAGAATACCAATCAAGTATTTGCATATGTAATTAAAGTAGATGTCAGATTTTTAAGCGCTAAGCGCTTTCTGCCAGCGTAAATCTACTTCCGTTCGCGATCAAGCGCCACTAAGCAAGTCATATAACTCCACTGGTTTTTCTAAAAATATGCAACTGAAAATCCCCGACCTTCTTTCTGCTATTTTAGTGAAATGATGCGTTACGTGCAATTCTAATAATAGGAGGCAATTAGTAAGGTAAAGGGATGTTCTCAATTAGAAGATAAGTATCTTGCTCTTCTCATAACATTGTAGTTCATTTAATCGTGTCGTCACACATTACGTTTGTACCATGCAGCTAACTGCTGCATCTATAGCACAAATACTTCATTAGAAGCGGTATATTATTTAACATGTACATGTTGTATAGTGATTTAATAAGTACATAATCTAAAACTCAGATGGGATTTAAAAAGTTTATAAATCTTAAACTGGAAGTAATTTATTCAGTAAAAAAATTCGCAAAATTGATTTACAATGTACTTCTTACATAATATGGTGCAATCTATATAACATATCCATATAAACTATTTTTTTTAAATTCTAGACCCTTATTTCAGGCAGTGTAACTAAAACAAGCCTTCCTTTTAACTCCTTGCGCTATGCTGAGAGCTATTAGTGAAGCTGATTTTCGCATATCGGTATCAATTAGTTACAGACTGGAATGCATTCATGGACTGTCTTTTTCCATGTCTATACTTGTGTTGTTCGTACTCTATACTTGTATCATATGGGTAAAATATTTGAATAATTCGAAAGGAAAGGCAGTTTGT